AGACAACAGACAGTGCAAAGAAGCTAACACCAGCAATTAGCGCGTCTCGTCGTCACCCTCGACGAGGTTGCAATAACGACAAACGCGCTAAGACGCGCAAAAGGATGTCTATATCGTGACACAACCCACTCCATACACGTCGTTCACACCACACACACACCACACACACACGCACGAGGCACGCGGCACGCACGCACGCAACCACGCACACACACACACACTCCAATACACACATACGCACGCACGCACGCATGCACGCAACACACCGCGCGCGCAGGACGACACACACAACATATACACGCCCACACGCACGCACAGCACGCACAGCACCATTCACACATATATTATAGTATATATAATATATATATTATCATAATTAATGTATATATATATATATATATATTAATATTAATACCTGTTCTTGACGATCCAGTAATCGCTTCCATTCATAGTTCCATAGCCGACTACTAGAACACCATGGTCAAGTTATGTTGTGCTGCATAGTCGTGTGCGCACACACTGACACATGCGATTTCCAAGTAGAAAACAATTCTAGAGAAATTTCGGAGCGATTGGAGCCTGACGGAGTCGCTCAAGAACAAAAAGCAGTGTTGATTCTTGCAACCGGACGCAAGCGGGCAGAATACGCTACGGGCTGCCGTTGCAGCGTTCCTCGCAACGTCTGATTCACAGCACATTTTTACAGCGATTCTAGAATTGCTGTCGAGTTGCATGAAAAAGTCGCAGGTCTGTGCTAGGCTTAACGCAGCGTGTTTCAAACAGAATTATGTAACATATGTACAATATGTACGCTCTATGTTAAACATGTTAAACATGTTAAATATGTACGCTCCAATTTTTAAACTGAGCTTCATGCTAAACACACCCAGTAAAGATGGTAACGGAGAGTGCTATAAACAGAATATGTGCGCTCCGATTTTCAAACTTACCTGTTTACTTGGTGCCGTCCCAGTAGGTGTGTGGAGCTTCTGAACTTTCGCCCGGTTAATTGTCAAGTGACATGCCTCTTCGATTGTATTTATTGATTTTTAAACGTGATCGTTTAGATAATGTGATAGTATTTTGTTAGAACTGTTACACTTACACAGTAGCACGAAGGAAGATGATGACATGTGAAATCGTGAAACTTTGATTTGTTTATGTTTTGGCGTTCATACTTTGGGCGTGTGTTTATTATATCGAAAAGAAGTCATTCATAAACAAACGAGCTCGTGAAGGGCATGTAGGAAAGTGTCACAAGTTGTGACAAAAATTGAAGCGGTCAAATGAATAGAAAAACGAATTTCTTTACGGCTTTAAATATCTGCTATATATATATTAAAACGTTTAATGGTAAATGGTCTAAAAGTAATTGGTCTAAGATCTTAAAACGTATGTCACGTTGCTGTGTTACAAACACCTACCTCTTGTTCAAAGATTCACACTCACCTCACCTTATCTTATCACGAACATACGTTCTTCAAAGCATGTTTATCATTTAATTACACCGAGTTCCTAAAGCACCAGTATCACAAACGTGGTTCGTTAAAATGGACACGTCATTGTGATAACGATTTGAAGTTTGTTTGAATCTCTGATTGTCCGATGTAACATGTAAAAGTAACAATTCATTCCGTCGAATACGACTGTCAAATTTCATCATGCGTCTTTGACTCATAATCTTTGAGCTTATTTGACTCGGGTTATCTTTGAGATTACACTTACAGACAAAAATAAGTTAATATTTAGGTTAATAGTTAATGTGTAAATATTAGTATGCGCACAATCCTTAGCTGTTCTGATTCTCTAAACTCGCACTTGATGTTACAGGAGCTTCAATATTATTATGTAGATATTAGTATAAGGTGTGTATATGTGAATATAATTTGTGCGTGCGTGCGTGCGTGCGTGTGGTGTGCGTGCGTGCGTGCTCATCGGTTTTATCATAAAATCCTGGTGTATTAAGGAGGCACGCCCACGGTGTCTCCGCGTCTTGGTATGTATATACTGGTGCAGCCTATGGGTGCAGCAGTACAACTCCCCGTGATGTGCGATGAATATCTTATATGGTAACAACCCGTATGTATATATTCTGAGAAAGATTTTCCGTCCGTGGAGTAATATATACTGTAATAATGATGAGTCGTATGATAAAGAGAGAACCCGTCCTGCTTGAAGTTTCCATAGAGCTTTCTCTAAGCGCGATCTATGCACGTATGTAAATTGAACTGTTTAGAGGGTGCGTACAAAATAAAAGGTTTCATATACATGCTATAAGATCTGTGTATGAGTTTTCTTTATTAAACGCAAACATAGTAGCTCAAACTAAAACGCTATGGCGTAAAACACACAGGCAATTTCACGAACCTTTTCCGTGCAATCTTACTTGCAATAGTTTCGAACAACAATTCCGAACAATTTTACTTGCAATAATTTCGAACAATTTTTACTTGCAAATTCACGATTCTCTTGCTCACGCGACGAGACATTTGCTGGGGCATAAGTCGGCGGGGAGACAGCATTGACGCCATGTTGGATATCAGCCACGACAGCTACCACTGCCTGGGATGTACTACTTGCTGCCTGCGCCATCGACTCTGACGAACCAGCCGTGAAACTCTGCAAACGTTTAACGCTAATTATTATAAATAATTAATAATTATTAATAACTATATTATTAAACGCATACTTTATTGCTGTTTCTCCTGCTGCTACACTAACCCGGGGGAGGGGGGCGTTGTCAGAAACATCGTAAAGTTAATGCTAATGTTAATGTTAAGATAGCACTTAAGAATATTGAGGTTAAGACTAATGTTAAGACTAATTTTGTTTCTGACAACGGGCCCCCGATTGCCTCTATAGTTTGCCAGCGACACACGCGCGTCCGAGGTATTGTGTGAATAGTGATAAAATCTAACAAACATAACAATAACAATAATATATATAGTGATAAAGTCTAACACAGCATATTATACGTACAGGCACGATGGTTGCGCGAGTATCACCACCTCTTCTGTTTCTTGTCTAATGAAATAAATAAATAATAAAATAAATTAACATAAATGATGAATATAAAAATATATATATTTGTGTGTGTGTTGTGTGTGTGATTTGACGTGACGTGGCGTTGCTGTGCGTGGTCGTGCGTGCGTGCGTATGTGTGTGTATTACACGTGAGTTTGACTCTTTAATTATGTGACGTCATTAAATAAGTCACTCGTATTATCGAGTCATCACTGATATCAAGGTGACACGTGTCACTCCCCTTCTCACATAGTTCATCTTAATTACCGGTAACGGGCGCCTTAGATTTTTTCGTAAAAATACGAGTCCTACATCGGTTATCGTAACCGTTGGTTTTTTCCCGCTTCGATAGCAGCTGATTATCTGTGTGATCAGGGGTTAATAATAACATTTGTCACTATCAACCCCTGCTGTGATGAAACGTATAGCACTGCATGCTTACTGATTGTAAGGAAGACTCACCTGGTGCGACCCCAAGAATCGTAAGCTTGGTTTTCATCTCTTCAGTGTCAGACTCGCTGTCACTGTCATCGTCTGTCTCGCTTGTTGCCATCATTCCATGCTCCGCTCCTTTATCCCTGCCCATGTCCAACCCGACCTGTCGCGAAATACCAAACGCAAACTTATGTTTTAGTACGTTTGAGTTAACACTTCGTGTTCACAATGAGAGAAGAAAAAACTAGTAACCGGTAAGCGGATTTTTAGTCTTTTTAGCTTTTTTAATATTCATTAAAAATTCATATTATTATTTAAAGCTACTTTATATAGTACAGATATGGTTAAGTTTTTAAGTATTTTTTAGTACTAATTAATATTAATAAAACTTTATATTAATATTTCAAAGCTGCTTTACTACAGGTATGGTTAACTAGATTAAGAATGTGCGCGTACAAACCTCTTCGACGTGACCACTCGGATTAGACATTGACTGTATCAAATTATTAAAGAATTGCAATCTCTTAGACCTAGATTCCAGGTCAGCATATTGTGTACATCGCTTGTTGTATCTGGGTAACAAAAACATAGATTTTTTAATTTAATTTTATTGCTAATTACGGTCATATTAATGAGAAGATAACAAAAACATTTTAAAATGTTATAGTTTACTATTATGGTGTAGATTCGATGATAACTTTGCTTTATGGAAATTAAATATCTATATCCATGAAGACTTACATTCTGTGCATGTTTGCCATCAAAAACTTTACATCAGGGCCTGAACTTCTCGGCTCCACTCCATGACTATTATCTGCAGAATCACGAAAAACATACAGATGCGCGTACACTAATTATAACTTAAATTAGCTGAAAATAACCCTAGAACCTAGAGTAAACTCTCCCTTTAAGTGGCAGCTGTATAAGCTATTGCTTGCAGAGTAACAGGGCTTTCTACATTTGCTGGGGAAGAGCTTTATAACAGCTCAGGAGACTTCATTCACTCCTGGAATACACATACGTGCTTATGAAAATACCCGTCACAGTGAATATTCACAATAAAACACCATCATCATTGCAGATAACAAAATATTTCTTAGCGAACAAATTGAGCTTTATATAATGCCTTGTGTCTGTCTAAATTTGCACGGATGCTTCACGTATTAACTGCTGTCTGTATGTGATTTCACTTTTTCAACAATCGTGTGTATTTGTGTGCTCCTGTATTTATACCTCAGTTGCAGTTATACCACATGCGTGCTTATATTTGCTGACTGTGTGTAGAGTGTATAGGCCTCTGTCTATCCTGCTCTCTATAACTATATCTATTAAGGATCTATAGTATAAACATTTTTATAGATTGGTGAAATATCATACCAGATCTCTTCTAAATCTTTTCTGGTTACTAATTCTATATGAGTATATGATTTTCATCACTAAAATTTATATTCACTGTCTACAACTATTGATATATATTGTAAAGGTACTACTCTCTACATCATTTTGATTTCTTTTATGTACTTTTTAAATGTATTTTTTAGAGATCAAAGCATCGGACTTCAAACGCTTGATATGAGACTCCTGCCGTCCAATCCCAACCACTTCTACATTGTTTGTGATAGGGTATGAGAAGCGTGCTCATAGAAAATAGCTTGTTATATGCGATTTGTTCACGTATAAATAGTAAATATAATTAAAAATAGTTGAGGTTAGGTGGTTGTGAAGGTACGTGGCTTCCTTGCAAAAGCATACCTTTAAAAAATAAAAAATAAATAAAAAAATAAATAATTATATTATATATATATATGTATATAAAGTTGTACCTTTATATTCAACTACGTGTATATCCTTGAGTTCATTGTGAAATTGTTGGTTCTGTTCGCAGCTTTCTAAGATGGCAGCACTAACGAATGCTCTGTGCTCCTGCTTTAGGGTTTCGTGATACATGGCCTCAAGTACGGTGGCAAGGCTGTGCCGAGACTCCATGGATCAGTCGACGAGACGAGTACGGGTGCTGAAGCTACGTGCATCGATTTCTCGCCGTTCGACCCCAGCTATTTTCTGGTAGGTGTTTTCAATCTGTGACGCTGCAACTCATTGTATATCATCAGAGGTAGTAAAAGAGGGGCCGAACATTCCCTCCTAACTTAGGTATTAGGAGGAAAGCAAGAATTGCGGACAAAGTGCACTAAACGGCTCGACCTAGGCTCGTGATAGTCGGTGTATAGCATCATCGGTAGAAACAGCCACTCACGTGTCGCCGAGTTTTGGAGCGTCACAGGTCACAACGGTTAATGGGGCAGAGGGCCAGATTTTATATTTCTGAGGACACTGGTCTGACGGAGCGATTGAAAGAAACCATATTTGGTTTCAGCCGGGCTGACCTACCACTTTTTATGGCTTTACTTGAAAGGACCGTCGAAATGGACTCTTCCACTGAATGCGAGAGTAAGGTGTCGGAGTAACTTTGACGCCTCAAGAGGAGGCGTTAACATTTATTTGGTTGACTGTAACAAAGGACTAATGCTTTTGCTATTGATTTAGAGCCAATACCTGTGTGAATGTGAGGAGTAGCAGTTGCGACAGTTTAATGGCAATGTCCAAATTGTAAACCGAAGGCTGAATCAGTGACATGCTCGCTATGTGGTAGGCAACAATCACGGCGGCAGACCCCAGGGCGTGTGGTACGCTTCGTAATCAAGTGTTTGCTGCCAACCTGCAATCGGAATGTATCTGCAAGCATAGAGATTAGGTGGTGCGAAAGTGTAGCTGATTATCATCTGATGTTCTCCAATGCTACGAAAGAACAAGAATAAAGAAGACTTAATGGTATAAGACGGATTCTTGCTATGACCACAAATGGACTATTATCTAGCAGAAACCACCAACACCAGATGAGCCCTGTCGCACTGCGGCACTTGTTTCCATTCAAGTGTGCTCCATTTGTAAAATAGGCGCTTGTTGTTCGAGAACGCAAAGATGAATTTCGTTTGCACTGTAGGACCAGACGTCGATACACTGGCGCCGTGATGGAGGGAGAGGGAGACTATTAACTCTTCACACGTTCTGTAAAACGTCTTCTTTTACAGGCCGAAAAGCTGTCAAGACTAATGAATAAGCACTTATTTGTTTCGACAACAGGCACCTGTATTTTGCAGACTGAACCACACTGTGAACGTGAAAGAATACAAATGAAATTTTAGAAAAAATCGAATCACACCGAGCCTTCGATCTCTCTCCCTCTTATCTCTCTCTCTCTTTCTCTCTCTTGCTCTCTCTCTCCGCTTCTCTGCTTCTCTCATATCTGCTATGCTCTCTCTCGCCCGTCTCTCTCTCGTCTCTCTCCTCTCTCTTTCTCTTAGTCTCTCTGTCTCTCTCTCTCTCTCTCTCTCTCTGTCCTCTCTCGCTCTGTCTCTCCTCTCTTTCGTCTCCTTCTCTCTCTCCTCAGCTCTCCTCTCTCGCTCTCTCGTCATATTGATCCTCGCTTCCGCTTCGCTGCTCGCTGCTCCGCCGGTGCCGCCCGCTCCCTCGCCCCCGGCCCCGCCCAAACCTAGAGCCACGGAAGAACAGACCGCCGCGCCTACAAAAACCCGCACCCAACACGCCCAGTGCAGTGACCAGTCGCCCAAAGTAGCCTGCTCAGCTAAGATAGCCTCTATTATTGGCAGTGCTAACCTTTTATCAGTTGCAAAGTCGTTCGATGATATTGGCAGAGCATCATTTTGCAGCAAATTCCAAATGTAGAGCTTGTGTGCAGCATCCAAGACGAAGAAGACAGCAGGTCGACTTTGTGACCACACCACAGATGTCACCATTTTACCCTGTTAAATGTGCAAAATACGGTTGTGAATTGCAACTATATTATTACGAGAGAAACTGAATGAAGACGGCGGTCAAATTAAGCGGAAAATGAAAACAAACAGTGAGAGAGGGTGAAACGATGCAACAGAAGGATGGGGGGAAAAAATTAGACCGAAGAGGAGAGGAGGAGAGAGAGGAGGGCGAGGGAGCTTGATGGGACGTTCAAAAGAGGAGGAGAGAGAGGAGGAGAGGAGAGAGAGGAGAGAGAGAGAGGGAGAGAGAGAGAGAGAGGAGACCAGAACGGGCGAACGAGAGAGAGGGAAAGAGAGGGAGAGGAGGAGAGAAGACAGAAGGAGAAGAGAGAGGAGAAAAGAGGGAGGAGAGAGAGAGAGAGGAGAGAGAGAGAGGAGGAGAGAGCTCATGGAAAGGGAGAGAGAGAGAGAACGGACGAAAGGAGCAGAGAAGAAGTGAGAGGAGGAGAGAGCCCGGGCAAGAGAGAGAGTATACTTGAACAAGTGCCGCACTGAGGAGAGAAACGACACGCTCATCTAACGTCTACTGCGGTGTACTCTGTGGGTGGAGCTGGAGGATTCTGTAACCTGTGGTTCCCAAATGGTGTTTCACGAGGCACGCCGAAACAGTGGAATTCACAGCGGATGCGTATCGGAAACTTCTCGAAAGAATGTTCCGGTTTTGGGGATCGTTATTGAAAGTGCCACGACGATGGGCGCGTGAATATAGGTCTTCAGCATTAAAGATGGAATCAGCATTCGTAGTAGCAACAACTATTTGCTCAAGACGAGATAGGTAAGCATCATGCCATTTACCCTACGCAGACCTAACAGGGCTGCAAATTTGCCAATAGAGAGCTGCCACCTGCCCAACCACTTACGCAGGCAAAAACGGCGGGGGCCAACACGATGCACTGGCAGCAGCCACTGGCGTGGAGTGGGCAGACGTTACATGTAATACTGACAGATAACGAATTGACATAGAAAATTAGATATTTAATGGAAGCATCTACACCTGTCTTTAACCAGGTTGATGACTTTTGAAATTTCACTGTGACATTGTAGCCTCATTACTCCGGCATGTATAGATTCTACTAGCAAACCCGGCAGTCTAATCTTTCTACAGGACAGTCAACAAATCCAAGCTTAACGTTTGTATGTGGGGTCAACAGATGTATCGACACTTACTTGCTTCGCATGAGTCAGGCAGAAGGGACCATTTCATGGAGTCCGTTTCGATGAAAGCCATAAAAATGCCTAGGCACGCTGTGAACACAAAAGTTTTTCAATCGCTCCGTCAGACCATGTCCTCAGAAAAATGTCTAAAATCTGCCTGTCCCTGCCTTTGACCTGTGACCTCCAATTCTCAGCACCCAGTGATGGCTTTCCTACCATGATGCTTATCACGCTATCACGAGCTAGGTCGGAGCCGTTGGAGAGTTGTGCCGCATTCTGATTTCCTCCCTATACCTTAAGTTAAGCGAGTTGAATATTCCCCCTTCTTTTACACCTTCACTTGACTTTGACTTTGACCCCAGCTTCGACATAGCCCAAGCTCGTCTTGTTTGGACGATCCCCCCCAACGACCAGAATATGCGTGACGTACGTCGCGCGGTTAAGATTTGTGCCAACTGTTGACGGCACGACGCCGGCTGAACGGACGGACGGAGGAACGATCAAGCGATTCTACAAGCCTGGCATCTGAACTATGCTCAGATGAGCTAAAAGCATGAGAGAGGAAAAAGTAGTGTCAGATGAACAGTTGAAGCAAGGACAGACAAGAAAAGGTACAAGAGAAAGTGAAGCAGTAACTGAGGGGAAACCATTGGAAGACAGAAAGGCAAAACATTCAGAGTGGACAGTAGAAAAGTACCTGCGTTGAGTAAGGCCATGTGATCAGAGCCATGTTCCTATGAATGCAAAACAGCTTAATAGTTCCGTCTTCATGGCCGACCTAGAATTGAAAGCAGAAAACATCCAAGCTTTAATCCGATTGCTACCCCTATTCACTCACACCACGTGATTTCATGAAAGAAATCTATACACGGGACGTAATGCCTCTACCCGGCTTACAGCACTTGTATCTTTACACCAATAATACCGTCAGAGTGTCGGTAAAATAGACTATGATGGACACTCTTTGATGATAGGACAGGAGTCAGATAATGGCGAACCAAATGGGGGAATAATAGGGCAACATAGAGGCAATAGGAAATAAGTGACCTTACCCCTTATTATCTCTNAGATAGAGAGAGAGAGAGAGAGAAGAAAAAAAAGACGAGAGAAGAAAAAGAAAGAAAGAAAGAGAGCGAGAGAGAGAGAGAAAGAGAGCTACAAAATAGTACCTGATTGGCATGCCCGTAACCGAACATTCCATAGCAGAAAGCAACCTCTATTTCCAGTTCTGCCGTTGTGTGGTGGCGTTTCTTCATTTTTAATTTATCCACAATGAACATGTTCTTGTGCGTGGAAAGCAAGAGATGAATAAAATTACCTACAGCGTTATGTTGAGCTGTACAATAAATACAGAAAATATTCGAGTGGGATGATTAGAGTAAATGTTAAAACCGACATCTACAATAAAGAATAGAGCATAGAGTTACTATACAGCGCCTATACATGATGAATTTAATGAACATTAATAAATAAATTTGGCAGATGCAATAAGAAGTCTCACTTTGATGAGGTCATAGACGTGCAACTCCGCACTGCCAATAATTTTGTGCGCTTTACTGTGGCCCTCAAATCCTACAATGTCCAGTTTTAAATTGCATTTGGCGTCATCTCTTTTCCTCGGAACCTAGATATCCAAAGTAAATGTACCAAAATATACATTATCAACTAGATATCTAGTATATAATAGTATAATGGGTATTTTCTTAAGATTTTACATGTATTCGTAATTACATTAGTCTCATTTATCTTAGAAAGAAAACCAATGAGGCAACAGCTCTGGGGTTTTCCAAGCCCAAAAAGAGCGTTTTGTGTAATATTTCGATTAGCTACACACGACGCCAATAAACGGATGCTATATAATATTATACATATAATTATTCTATATTATTNTAACGTTATGTTGAGCTGTACAATAAATACAGAAAATATTCGAGTGGGATGATTAGAGTAAATGTTAAAACTGATATATCTACAATAAATAATAGAGCATAGAGTTACTCTACAGCGCCTATACATGATGAATTTAATAAACATTAATAAATAAATTTGGCAGATGCAATAAGAAGTCTCACTTTGATGAGGTCATAGACGTGCAACTCCGCACTGCCAATAATTTTGTGCGCTTTACTGTGGCCCTCAAATCCTATAATGTCCAGTTTTAAATTGCATTTGGCGTCATCTCTTTTCCTCGGAACCTAGATATCCAAAGTAAATGTACCGAAATATACATTATCATCTAGATATCTAGTATATAATAGTATAATATGGGTATTTTCTTAAGATTTTATATGTATTCGTAATTACATTAGTCTCATTTCTCTTAGAAAGAAAACCAATCATAGGCAACACCTCTGGGGTTTTCCAAGCCCAAAAAGAGCGTTTTGTGTAATATTACGATTAGCTACACACGACGCCAATAAACGAAGCAAATTAATACGAATGCTTATATAATGATTATACATATAATTATTCTATATTATTATTATTATTATATTAATATATAATTATTACTATATATATACAATCAGGAATGAATAATAATAGATTAATATTAATTATTATTCTATATATATTATTATTTAATAC